TAGATAGATAGATAGATAGATAGATAGATAGATAGATAGATAGATAGATAGATAGATAGATAGATAGATGACTAAATATAATTTTGATTTATTTTCAGGTTCCTATGAAAACTGCTGTTTGAATTATGCAAAAGTAAAGAAGAGCATCAGGAGACATGTCGTGAGTTACAGAATGCAGGAAACAGATGGAGGATGTAACATTCCTGCTGTTGTGTGAGTACAACATGTAACACTTCAACACAATCACATGGAAAGCTGGAATTCATTTGACCAGTAATACATGGTTGTCCCATACAGCAATTACGCAGCAGATTAACAGCCACGGTTGTAGAATTATCTATGTCTTTTTCTCATTTTCCTTTTCTGGTCTCCAAACAGCTTCAAGCTGAAGAAATCAAAGACAATCTGTGTTGATCCAAGACTACCCTGGGTACAACAAGTGGTACAGAAAATGAAGGAGTAAAACGCAGACACTGTGTAGTGTACGAGTTTCAGAGGTAGCTTTGATCACGCCACTGCAGACCAATTAAAAATGTTTATATCACCAACACACTAATGTAACAATGTGTAGTTTATACCACTATCAATCCTGCTGATTCATATTTTCTCCACCTATGAATTACTATCTTCATGCAGAGGTTCATAATGAACTGTATTTTATGGTCTGCTTCTGTTCATTGTATTAGAACAATATGAATGTACAAACTGTGAATGTTTGCTCTCTTTGTCTACATGCTTCATAATGATCTTTTATATGTATATATAAATATATTTCTTTTTTTATGTTTTACTCCAATATAACCTGTGTGTGTGTGTGTGTGTGTGTGTGAGAGAGAGGGCAGTATGTATACATTTAAAGCATTTTTTTATAATAAAGTGTTGCAATTGTGCATTTAAATTGTCATGTCTTTTTCTTTTGTGTTAAACCCATCTGAAGTATTGTGACAATGATCTGGCATCTAATATCAAATAATAAGTTGTTTTATATAATAAAATTAAATAGAAATTATTATTATTATTTTATTATCGGTTATTTCAAATGACCACAAATTAAGACACTGCTTAATTTAGCCTTTAAATTAGATTTTAATTGCCTATGAGTAAAGCTTGGAAGTAAAACAAGTTTGTCTTTCATTGCCTCACCCTTCCTAAGAAAATTCATTTCTCCTATTGGTTCAATGCCATTGAGCATGTGTTTGTTCTTGCTTAAGCTCTTTGTGATTGATTTAGGGGATTCTTATCTCTGTATCTTTCATATGCCAAAGTATCAGTGTGAGATGTGACAGGTGATGCCTAAACTTGCTGGGGTGAGATGAATTACTGAGCCGAGTTTCTCCATTTCATGCCAAATGCCTGCGATTCAAATACTCTCGTTCTAAACCTGTCATCGCCTCCATTTAATCTTGCTGTGCGGGTGAAAACCTTATTTGTTAAAACATAATGCATTTCACTTAAGAATTTCGCCTTTGTTCAAGGATACTTTTAAATTCCAATTCCACACGTGACGAGACAGTACAAGTGATCTAAAATCATGTTATGTTTAAAGGAAGAATTCATGCAAAAATTAAACCCTTGTGGACAATAAGTGCACTTAATTGTATTGAATGTGCACTTGTAGTGTACTTAAAAAAAAACAAAAAAAAACTGTACTTAATATATTAATAAAATAAAAGGCCACTTAAGTACTTAAAGAGAGTAAACTTTCATAACTGTTTCTTACAATTAAGTACGCTTTTAAAAAGTGCACTTTGTAATAATGTCAAATGAAAAGTTTCACTTTGTAGTAAATTTTAAATCATTAACAATCTTTTGTCTTGCTTTAAAGTAGCACAATTATATATGGTGACTGATATGCTATATATATATATATATATATACCAAGGCAAATGTATTGAAAAGTATATAACTCAACTGTGTGTTATTCAAAATTACATTTAAGGTTAATATATTTTGTGCTAAATTGCAATTTCATCATTACAAATGTGTAATTGCAAATATATTTAAATACATGACATACAGTTTTCAATATTACAGTTTAGGTTACCATTAATGCTTGCCATATATTCTGCAGTATTGTTTAGAGACAACAGAAGTAACTGTGAAATGACATAATGTACTTCATAAGTACTTAAGTGGGTCAAAAACTGCATTGGATCTAGATTTAAACTATAATACATTTTTATTGAATTTCAAGTTACGTGCAGTTACTATAAGTGTTTGAAAACATTCAGTTCACACTTATTTGTGTCATTATTTGCTCATCCATATTGTTTTACCTCCATATGACTTTCTGATGTGGGAAACAAAGTTATTTATTTTCTAAAAGCAAAGGCATACTTCCCAACCTCATTTAAACTTTAAAGTTTTTGGCTACTAGCCCACATCTGTTTTGACATTTTCGCAAATCCTTCTGTGCCAATGTTGGCAATAAAGCTGATTGTGCCTGGAAATGAAAAGAAGAAAAGAAACGAAAGTGTCTTGAGTTAGTGTGTGAGTGCAAAAGTCATGCACTGTAACTTTGATAGTACAGTCATAACACGAAGAGAATGATAAATAATGTTGATGTTGTTCCAAATATGAATGACTTTATTTCTTCTGTGGAGCACAAAAGTAGATATTTAAAAAAAAATAAAAATAAAAATAAACCTTAATAGGGTCCAAACAACATTGGGACTGAGACTTTTTCATCAGCAGCATCTTCTTTCATCTACACAGAAGAAAGAAAGTCAGGTTTGGAACGACAGGAGGATGAACAAATGATGACAGAATTAGTATTTTTGGGTGAACTATCTCTTTAAGCTAGTCTAAAACATTTTCAGCTGTGCTTTTCTCACTCTTTTTTTCATTGGGATCTTTCATGCACATATGTAATTAATTGTTATGTTTGGTCTGTAATTAGATGGCCCATAAAATGTATAACTACGATTAATCAGAAAGGCAATTAATCAGCCGCCCATGAGCATGTCACGCTCAGTCATCCAAGACTGCTGATTTTGGCCTAAGAAATATTTTAGAATCTTTGAAATTAGTCTCAGATTGCATAATTGCAGTGTATGCCAGACTGGTTGTACATTTCGATCTGTTCCTCACACAAAGCTACCATATGGCTTAAGAGGACTTATAATATATAGTGTTCATCCATAGTGTGAAACAGAGTTGCATGGACTTGCTATGGAACTTTAATGTTGCTTGTTATGTTTTTTGGTTTTTTTGGAGCTTTAGAGTACCTTGTCACCATAAGCTTTTATTGTATAGAAAATATCATTTTTATTTTCATAATTTTGATACTTGTAAGCCTGTGGTCAGTGTGTGCTTTTGTATTAAGGAAAAGAGTTATGTAGCGTTTGGACCAATTAGACACACAATTATTCATTATATTTAATGAATAATCCGGCAAATCCCCTCACGCCAAAAAAAAAAAAAAAAGAAGCAAACTATGTGTTAGAGTTCTGTGAACAACCCCCGAAGAGCAACTAACACCCCAAAAAAGGCAGAACAGGCCTGGTGACCATGACAAGCAAAGACAGATCATCAGATAACACTGGTTTCATTGCTCAAAGTAATGCAGGCTGAGCAGCTCTCACTCCAAGGAAAGTATATTTCATTAACTCATAGTCAGACCTTTCTATGAATGAAATCCATATCCCCAGGTCATTGTGTGTATTATTACTGTTCTTGTATATTGTGTTTTGTATAGTATACTGTTTTTTGCATGCCTTATGATAGAATCAATAGTTAAAGTGGTTATATGACGTTGCTAAAAAGAACATTATTTTGTGTATTTGGTGTAATGCAATGGGTTTATGTGGTTTAATAATGACTTATACTGTCTTTTTACACGTTGCGTATTGCGCCACGTATTGCACTGCGTAAACATAAAACCATGTCTGCATTTGTGATCGGAGAAAATGTAGGCTACTCTCCCAGGTTCAGGAATCAGTCCTCCGTAAAATGCGCTGCACACATCTGAATATTTGGGTTGAACTGTTCTGGAACAGTGTTGTAAATACAATAACTTTTATAAAGAATATCTCTTTGGGTTTGAGACTTTATGCTTTGCAACTTTGGGGATCTTATCTATGCACGAACAGCTTATAACACTCCAAAGAGAAAGGAAAACTTGAAATTGCATCATATGACCCCATAACCCCAACTATACCATGTTTGTTATCTACGAATTTGTATTTTGATGATCTAAATAAGGGTGTATATTATATGTTGATACCTAGTGTTCTAAGAATCTTTAACAGTTTTGCATCAGCACCTAGTTACATATGCAAAATACCATGATCGAAGACTCTCTGACCACCCAAAAGATAGACCTCCATAGAACGGCCGTTTTCAACTGCCAAAGCAATGCAAGTATCGTACATTTAACTAAATGAAACAGAGGTTTAGTATAAGCTGTAAACCCCGTTGTAAAACGGCACTGATGGTTTCACTCAGGTGGTTAACTGACTCATTTTTCATAGCTGCATTCTCTGGTTTCTCTAACGGTTTCATTCATCCACTTTAACTCCTCTTTGTATGCATGTGTGAGTGTGTGTATATACTACTTATGTGTTAGTGTTTAGTTACATTGTAACCAGCGTGCGAGCACTGAATTGAAACCTTTTGTGTCTTTTCGCACTTGAATTGTTTAAACTCTATTGAAGGTTTAAATTGGAGAGGTTTAAAACATGTGCAAATGATAAACTTTCGTAAGGATGAAATGGTGGTCTGACTGGACAGTGACAAATCTGTCTCGATCAAGCGTCTTTCACACTGGCCCCGGGCCATCGGCCAGTCCTTATTGTCAAGCCTGTGGCCTTAATTTTAATAAAAAATGCAATAATACAACTTTGATGTAGCACATTACAAAGGTTTCACTCGTTAATATTAGCCTAGTTATTGCAATAGCTGTCAAGAATACCTGACTGCCATGATTAACAATATTTTACATCATTTATTTCTCTTGATTA